AAAAATTCTGTAACCATGTGTGGTGATGGAAGTTAGACGCTGTGGTGATCATTTCACAATATATTCCAGTACCAAATCATTACGTTGCACACCTGAAACTAACATGATGCATGTCAATTATACCTCAACATGAAAAAAAAAGGAAGACAATCTAACTGAACACAGGCATCACATTCAGAGCTTTTAGGGGGAGACAGGCTCTGACACATCACTCCTGTCCTAATAAAAGCCATGGCTGATGTAAATCCTTCAGCAGAAATGGGAATCCCACTGTGAAAGGCGGCCTGGCGGCCCTGCGGTACCTCCTCCTTGGACTCGCTGCTCTCCCGCTCCCGGGGCTCCTGCTTGACGTGCGTGACCATGGCGAAGGCCGCCCGGTCATGGCTGTCGGCCAGGTTGATGACGTTGGTGATGGACGGGAGCATTGCCCCTTGGCAGCTGGTGCCGATGGGCGTGCTCTTCTCACACACAGCCAGGAGGAGCTGGAGTGGGTGAAGGAAAGAAGTAAGACCTGACACACGGCCCACAAGCAGGTGCGGACAGACCCTGGTCAACACCTCGCGCCTCCAGCAGCTTGCGCAGTGATGGCCCCCGCCCAGTAGGCTCCACACCCCTCCCCAGCTTAGACGGGATCCCCGCTCAGGCACCTCTGACCCCGCGTCCAGGCACCCTCGACGTCTCCTTCCCCGACCAGCCAGGATGCCTCTTCGGCTGCCTCAGAGTACCACCCCCCTACCCTACGCAGGAAGCACGGACGCCCTCGCTTCACACACCCACTTCTCCTTCCCGCTCGGCCCCTACCTCATCACCACGTCCTGCCTGGACACAACGTTCTCACTCACCCCGATGCACCCTACTCGGACCCATCCTCCCCAAGACTGTAGACCGTGGCGCCCCTCCCACAGCCCGCAGGGGCCGCGCAAGCCCCTGGGCGGCGCTCACGAGATCTCCAAAACACAGCACCCCCCACCCGTGACTGCACCCCCAGCCCCGGCCTTGCTCACGCTGTCCTGACCAAGCCACTCCTGCATTCTTTTGGCAACTATTTACTGAACACCCACGAGGTGCTGTGTGAGGACTTGGACGTTCACTTGTCAACTTCACAGCGACGGTGCCCCTGCCCTGGTGAGGCTGAAGTGTCGGAGAGAAGGAAGAGACCAACATCGAAACATGAACAGACACAAACTCCCTGTGAGGACACAGCCCTCACGGGCAGAGTGACAGAGAATACAAGGGTGCCCGCTTGGGCAAGGGGGTCAGGAATGTGGCACAGGTGGAAAGGCCAGCAGGGGACACTAATGAGAGAGGGATAGAGGAGCAGTACAGGGCTGGAGAGAGGGGCGAAGGCCCGGGCACAAGGGGGCCAGAGAGACCGTATCCTGGAGGGTAGCTCTTGTGCCTGGCACGACGGCAAGAGGGACAGTCTGCTTTACTCTGCCAGAACCACCCTGGTGGGCCGGAGGAAAGGTGGGCGAACGCCGAGGACCCGGTCCTGTCATCTTTGTGTGGAATGGCAATGGCTGAGAGAGGGAGGAAGACAGGGGCAGGGAGAAAAGCCAGTGGTCTCACGTGGGTAACAGCTGGTGATGGACCACACACACAGGACAGAGGACGGGAGGGACAGCGGGTTCCTGGCTGTGCGCTTCCACCAGCCCTGTCCCTACAGTCCAGTGTCTTTTCCATCTTTGTTCCCACCTGACCAGGGCCTGCCGCCTGACCGCAATCAACAGGCCTCCTGAATGAATGAAGCATCAGTCCGGGGTCTCTGCCCACTGTGTCACTATTAGCACCTGCAGCTCTGGATACACACGCTCAGCACCCATGGAAATCGCTAATGAGCTCTCACTTCCCTCAAGGAGAACCGCACTGCGTCCATCCACAAGACACAGTCACCTGGCGCCGGTCGCCCTAGCATAGCTGCGGCACCTGCTGCGGGGAAGCCAGGCTGCCTGGTGCAGCAAGTTGGGGATCCAGCCCAAGAATGAAGGAAGCAAACAAGAAAGTGAGCAGTCTCACCAGACCCCGTCAGAAACACGAGAGGCCTCCGACCTGCCACCCCCCGAGACGGCCCCGACCCGCAGCACCCCTCGCCCTCGCCCTCACCCACGGGGCAGAGCTGTGGCGCCACCTTCCTGCTGTGAGTCTTTCCTTGCCTCCTAGAGATAAAAGGCGGCTCTCGGGGGGAGGTTCCTAACCCACCTTGCATGTGGGCACCTCCTGGCCACGTGTGCTGAGCTGCTCGCCCTACCTCAATGCACTGCTTGATCCAGAAGTGGTTCCCCATGGCCTCCCAATTCTGGGAACAGGTCACGTAGAGCAGGCGCTCGTAGACGCGCCGCTTCATAGAGTTGTCGAAAACCTCGAAAAACTTGGCCCTGATGAGTGGCTGTGCACAACGCAGCCCAGAGAGAAAGGCAGGTTCCAGTTTCGCAGTCAGCTCACTGCCAGACAGCGTCTCGTCCCTGTAATCGGGGGAGTGACACCAAGAGAGCAGAGCCATGAGAAGGGGCAGAGGGCAAGTGGATGCCAACCCCTAGACTGCCGCCATGAAGGCCAAGACTGTCCCAAATCACGAGCTGATGCAGCGTTGGAGCAAAAGGCTCAGTGACACCAACACATTCTTTGTGATTTAGTATTTAAATGAACATTTAAAATTTAGGTACAATGAGAAAATTAATGTCATGTTACTGGCTGGTCAGAGAACACGTTAGGGACTGATGCACAACATCTGGTTAACTGCTGTGATTACCTGTAGACGTAGTTAACGAGGTCTAAAAACTGGGCATTTAATTCAAGGTCTTCTGGAAAACGTTTTTCTATGTAGGTCATCATTTTCACAAGCAAAATGGACTTCTCCCGGAGTGTAGGCGTCTGCACAAGTTTGTTTTTCAAAAGGAAGAGCTCAATTACATCTACTTGAGAAAACACATGCTCAAAGTCTTTCAGCCACCTGCTGTACTAATTTTTAAGCTCCTACAATTTTGTCAGGTGAAAAAAGACAGGGTCATTTCTGAACAGAAAAATCAAAGATGGTTCTTTGGATGCTTAAGATCAAGACAGGGGCCAACCTGACTTTCCTGGGAGAGGCTACAGCTCGCTTTGGAGAGAAAGAACTGAACTTCAAGACAAATCAGAAGTTGCAAGCACCTCACTGAACTCGATAATACTCCTCACTGCAATTACAATTTATTGGCTTACCTTTGCCACCAAAACTAACAAGTAAGGTTTAACATTTTAACAGGAATAAAACCACATTAAGATAAGTGACCTGTTATCTCAAATTTCTGTTTAAAACCTGCTAAGCACAGTGAGAAAAGTCCACCTTAAAGAAAGATCCCCTCAATGCAAACAGGGCATGAAAAAAGGTTTTGCTTGAGAACCTGCAGAGGGGCTCCGACAGGGCCGCCCAGCCCTCCCCGCTCACCTGATTGGCTGCCATCGGGGAATTATTTTTCACCCATTCTTCCACGATTTTAACCACGGCCCGGAGGACTTTGGCGTCGGGGGATTTCTCGATGAGGGAGGTCAGGACGGCCTGAATGAAGTTCTTCCGCATCTCCATGCTCATCACAGCCAGGCGCGTTTTCACCAGCTCCAGGCTCAGCATCACCAGCTCGCTGGTCCCTGCTCATGCGGAGACAGAACACACCCCAGTCTCTACAAGCCCTCCTCAATGGGCAGGCAGCCGCCACGTGGGTGGTGCGCTGGATTCTGCGTACATCCCCCCCCAGGTATCTTCTCCAGCCAGCGGAGCGCTGGGATTTGAAGTGCCTCATCACTTTCTTGGTACTCCACCTTGCAAGGGTGGCCACGGAAGAGCCTCCCCACGGAGGAGAGGACGATGAAGCTGATGGGGCCCATGCAGGCAGCCCCCGGGCACAGCCAAGTCCCAAAGCCACATGCATGGCACTCGTGCTCCAAGGGGCATCCAGCAGAGGTGACAGCCACAGCTCCCCACCCCTCACCAACTCAGCACCCAGATCCCTGAGCTCACACCGCTCAGGTCTGCAACCCACGACTTAATCCTTCTTCAGAAATAATAGCTCTGTTTAAGCAATCTCTGGTTTCCAGCAAGATCATTAGATAGCTCTTATACAGTGGTGAACGTTCCACATAAAGCGTGCACCTATTTGAAAATTCCTTCATTAACAGATTTTAAAAGCAGTTCATTTTAAAAATGAGTTTGATTTTGTTTTTAAGTGAAATGTTCAGAAACTCTCTTTGTTAAGAACAAATGATACTGCACAAATAAACAGGCATTTGTGCTGGCTTTAGAATCCAATCACACGGCCGGCACCGCTGAGGTGCTGAAGTCCTGGGGAAGGACTCGGGGAACCACGCCTGTCACCTGAGGTGGCTTCAGCACTTCCCGAGGCGGCCTGTGGGTTCAGGTGCTCGCGGACCATCTTCTGCAGGGAGCGCATGAAGACCGAGATCAGCCTGTCTATGTAGCTCGGGTTGTTGCTGCAGGCGGACTTGAGGATCATGAGGGTCCCTGAAAGGCAGAAAGTGCCAGCTGTCTCTCAAGGAAAGTCTTTTAAAGTAAATAACAAAAATATACTATTTAAAACATTTTAAAAATGTGCTGACAAAAATGTGTCATTTCTGATAAAAGCAGAGGCTAACCCCAAATGTCAGCATTACAGCTGACCCTTGAACGACATAGGTTTGGGCTGCGTGAGTCCACTCACACGGCCTTTTCCAACAGTAAATACCTAAGCCCTGCGGCTGGATGGCCCTGAGGAGGCGGCACTGGGACTCGGAGGAAGCACGGGTATGTCACATGCAGAGGGTCAAACGTAACTCATACAGAGATTTCCAACTGTGCAGGGGTTGGCAGCCCTGGTCCCCGGGCTGTCAGCTACACACGCCATGGAAACACTTGCTCGGTTGACCCCTGAACAACCCGGGGTTGGGGCACTGAAGACCCCTCCCCCTTCCCATCCCCTCGTTGCCCTGTACAGAAATGTATGACCAGTCTGGTCTCATGACAAGCAACCCAGGAAATTTGACGACGATGAACATGGGGGTGGATTCTGGCCGTTTCAGCTGCTGCACCCTCCTCTGTTGAGCAGAGGCAGTAACGAGCCCAGGGTGTAACCTGGGTCTAGTACAGGGAGAGGATGGAGCCCACTAGCCCTGGGGCTGCGCCTCGCCTGCTGCCATCCTCACAGAGGGAGCCGGGGCCACTGCGGAAGGCAGCTCCTTTCAAAGACAGTCCTCTGGAGAATTAACAAGACGTTCACGCTATACTGAGCTGGACACCATGCGATCCCACTTGCCTCACTATCCAAATCTATCTGGCTCCAGAACAGAGACGACAGCCTTAATAGCAAGGGATACCATGTGAATTCAGTTCATCTGGCTCCTGAATTTCAGAGAGCAAACAGCAGGAGTTTGGAGAGCAAGAAATTAATTAAAAAATAATGTATTCAGTTGGCAAATTCGGAAACAAGTGTTTGCATAACAAAGGCTACCTGTGTGTGTACTTATAAACGTGTATAAAAGAACACACACATCGAAATGTTTAGAGTGAGTAAGCCACTAAGTACAGAGGCTTATATGTACTTTCAGTTCTCCTTCATTTGTAGTTTCAAAATTTTACACAAAGAACATGTAACAAAGGAGAAAAAAATCTTCAGATTTGCCAACCCAAAGTCTGATCCTCCCAAGAGGTGAGTTTCACAAAAAGCAGAGGTAACTACACATTTGAGTTCTGGGGACCTGGACATCGGAGCCATCCAGTTGTCCTAATTACCCAAGAAACCAATTTCGTTTCTCCCAGGGTAGCCAGAGACTTGCCAAGTAGATGGGGACTAGTTCTTGTCTCATACGTGGCTTAACGGCAGGTGAACATGTCGTGAAAGACATATTTATATCTGCATAGGAGCATCTCTGGGTTCAGTATAAAACTGGGTCAGCAGGATGCAAGCACCTCGGGGCAATTCCACTCTCATCTGAGGCCGAGGTGGGAAGAACCCAGGAAGCTCCGATGCTGGACAGGGTCGGGGTCACTCACCTCTAAGACCACAGAGGACTGTGGCCTTGCGTGCACACGGCCACCCACAGGCATCCTCAACAACGCGTCAGCTCCAAGCTCCTCCCAACACCCTGCGCCTCCCCCAGAAGGAAAGCTCATCCATCGACCGCAGGGAGATGGATGCCAGGCCGAACCATCGCTGGGAAAACCACGATGGACACACACTCACCGAAGAGCTGGGAGGGGTTTGCGTTGGCAGCCTTCTCGTAGCTGGTGAGCCCTTCGTAGACAACCTTCCCCACCGCTGCATAGAGACACTCCAGCTCCTCATACTTGGAGGCCACACTGGATGTGCCTGGAACAGAAGTGAGGGCCTGGGCTCTGCAGTCTGGGCTCCCAGACCCGCCCATGGGAGGCTTTCCTCACACCAGCGACTGAGCTCTAGTGGCCTGGGGCCTGTGGTGACTGGCATGGGCACCGCTCTCACTGCAGGACGTGTGGTTCCCACTTTACAGAGCTCAGGGACAACCTTTCATTCCACCAAGCCTAACCTGAACACACTCTAAACACACCTGCTTATAATACACCAAAATTCTATCTGGTCAACCATTCAACACTTGACAAACACTTCAAACTAACTTCCTTTTAATACCTTAAGGAAAGAGTAATGTTTGGCTGATGAAAAACTACACTTCCAAAGCAGACACAAAATGTGAAGACTGCTACTGTTTAAAAAGAGTCTGAAGGTAGAAACAAGAGTGGGGTGATAACACGCCCGGGTGGTACGTGGAGGGCGCACATCCCCAGGAACAGGCTCTGGGCCCAGCCATCCGCTTGCAAGGACAGGCACCAACGGAAAAGGTCACGTACTTGGTTCGGTTGGGAAAATACTCATGAGGCGGGAGAGAAGGCTGTGGACGGCGCGTAAGACTTTGGTGTTTCCGCACGTCATACAGGCAGCGATTCCACGCTGCAGGGGTTTGAAGCTACTTAGGATGGCTGGAGACTGGAGAACGGTCAGCAGGAAGCTCAGCACCTCCAGCCCCGTGCAGATGTTTCCGTAGTTCACTTGATTAGGCTGCTCCTGGAGTGAAGAACACAGGCCACGCACAGATGAAGTCAACAGTACAGTGAATTACAGGAACATCAATCAGGCAAAACTAAAACTACGTGCCAGTAAGTACTAAGAAATGAAACAAGAACCACTGAAGAAGGAACATGTCAGACGTATAAATGACCACCCTATTTTATTCATACAGCAGGATTACATAATGTCCCTTTTAATAAATTTGCTTTAAATACTCAGTAGAACTTCATTTTAAAAGCTCTTGGAAAAAATTAATACTCAATACTAGATGACACTAAAATTTTGGAAAGCACTGAAATCTGATTTAAAAAGGCAATTATTGCAATGATTTTTGTTTTCACCAGGCATGTTTTTAGTTAAAATACAAATATCCTTCCAAAAGGATGTACCTTTGAAACTACATCTTGAAATCAATCTAAAAAATGTCAGCGTTAAAAAAAAAAAAAAAAAGAAAGAAACAAAATGACGCTAACAGAGCACATGGCGTGCAGTGAGGATTTAGGCATGGCTTCGCACGCTTACTTCTGTGGCAGACACACACGTACTTTGCAGGTGCACTATGTGTGCACCGTGGGTCGGAGGGAACACCTCCCACTTACTAGAGATTATGGGAAAGGCAGAGTCCCTGTGAGTACGACACTGCTCCATGGAAATGTCAGCCTATCAAGTGGCTGAGCTTGGCTGAACTGGGACTACATTTGATAGGAAAGCAATCTGACCTTTCAAAAAGAAAAAGAAAGTAAATCTGCAGATAATCTAGAAGTTAAGCACCACGCTATAATAAAAGCACGTGCTGCAGATCTTGGGGGCCTACCACCCTACTGCTTTTGTGACATAGTATCCTTTGTAACCTTTCAAAAAGCTGAGCAAGAATGCTCATCTCTGCAGCACAAAGTAACAAATGCTCACAGTAGGTTTTATAATCCAGGGCAATAAATTTTCAAATTTCACTGTAGAACTAGACATACTGAACATGTCCTACTGATTAAATGGGTAAGGCAAGAGAACAGCTTTCGCAACCTCCAAGAAAATTACAGGATTTTGTAGTTTTACAGAAACAAAAACAACAAAAAACCCACCAAACGATCAGTATTTGGGGGCTTTCTCTTATTACCTGACTATACAGTGCCATACCCATCATTCAATCTATTTTAAAACTTCCAAGTTTCTTTTAAAGGTTGTTGTGCAAATCAATTAAAAGTGCATATTCCAAGCCAGCTGGCAGGTCGGTTTAAGAAATGTGCCTGTGAAAGGCAAGAGAACCATCACGTCTTCAAAATTCCTAACTCTACATGGGGCTAGAGGTGAGGGCTGCTGTTTTAAAACCAATTTCAGTGAGTGACACTCCCTCCTCTTCATTAGCAGCCAGAAGAGGAGGTGGTTGTGGCCCCCCGTCCCGAGGACCCCTGCACCTACCACGCTCATCAGCAGCTTGTCGAACCACTGCAGTTTGAGCTCCGACTTGGACCACATGTCCGGTCGCAAGGCCGTCTTTAGGAGAGTCACACACCGGCGGGACAGCACCTCCCCAGGAGACCCCGCAGTGTTGGTGTTGTCATTAACCTGGAAATTCACTCAAATTCAAGCCCAAGGTTCACTGCATCTGCGTGCACATTCTTGTCCGCCCGGGCTCCACACCCTCCCATCCCAGTGCTCCACCTCACAGCCACCTCCTCTCCTATCAGACTCAACTCAGCTATCTCTGCTCCCCCTGGACCCCGCCCCCTGCAGTGGGGATTTGCGCGATTAATGGATCAGCACCTCCCCACTGGGCCTCCCCAGCTGTGCCCCACACGCTGCAGCCCACAAGCAAGCATCGACTGAACAGTTCAGGAGTAGATTGTTTCCAGCACTTGGAGATCCTCAATAGTGCTGCAAGCTATGCAATTTTGTTTAATAATTATAAAAACTACTTAGTAAGGAAAATTCCATTTAATGTTTTTTGAAATATAGAAATGAGAAGTTTCAGCAATGGATTCCCAACACCACCATGAAAATACACACTGATATGAATGGTGGTAAATAAATGCAAGTTACGAAGCATTTAAATTAGTAAGCACTGCCCTAACTTATGCAGGGTGGATCATCCCAACACCTTTAAGAGATGGGTAACTTAGAAGTCAAATAATTTGCCCAAGAACACTGAACTGCCATGCTTCTCCAATATGAGAATACTATTATAGGATATACCATTATTTTATCACTGCTGAAAGAAAAAATGTTTTTCAAAATCCTATCAACTATAAGACACCAGGAGATTTCAGAAATATTAGTGTGCCATGAAACAAATGGAATTGGATGTGAAAGGGACAAAACTTGCTCTCAGACCTTGGTCCGTCTGTTCCCTTTTTGACTGTCATGGATAGTCAGACTCACTGGTGTCTACCAGACAGCCCTGGCTTAGAAGAATCGTGAAACTAAGATGTGCAGATACCGCACCTGACAGGCCACCCGGATGAGGAAGTTCACCACGGTGTCCGTGTGCTGCTTGTCGATGGGCTTGGCGAGAAGGGAGTCTGCGCCTGGCAGGGACTGGCTCCGCCCGAACACCTGGAGGCGGCAGGAGGAGAGCTCTCAGCTGCGCGGCCCGCCCCCAGAGCACAGGCCCCGCTCGGGCACAAGAGACACCCCAGGCAGGTGTGGTCTCCGCAGACAACGGAGCATCAAAGCGGCCACGAAGAAAGTCCTGGGTCCTGTGCTCCAAACTGATAGGCAGCAAGGAGTGACACCCAGGTAGAGGCCGCCAGCCTTGGGGAGAGAGGAGAGGAAACTGCTCCAAGGGAGAGAGAAAAGAGCCAGCTGTCAAGCTCTAAACGAGCAAAAGGCATGGGTGTTTCCAGAAAGGCCTGAGTGGCTAGAGCCTGAGCACAAGGTGCAGGGCAGCTAGGCCACCAGCAGGGCCTTGGAGGCCATGGTCAAGGTCAAGGGGAGGAAGGGCTTAGTGAGGGGAAAGGCAGTCTGACTTAATTTCTTAAATTTGGGGTTTTTTTGGGGGGGAGGGTAATTAGATTTATTTATTTATGTGGAGAGACTAGGGATTGAACCCAGAACCTCGTGCATGCTAAGCACGCACTCTACCACTGAGCTACACCCTCCCTGCCTTAAGCTTTTATTTTGAAATGATTATAATATTCACAAGAAGTGGAAAAACAGTAGAGGTCACATGCCCTTCACCTAGCTTCCTCAACTTGAACTTCCAGAAGAAAGGGGTTGGCACTCCGCTTTGTGAATCGGTGGCCACGAGGGATAAAAGTGAAAGGAGTGCGAGGTCCTGGGAGGTGGCCTCACTGTTTGGGTGAGAGATGGTGTTGGGGGTGGGGACCATGGCGGAGGGGCAGAGACGGGAGAAGAGGCTGGCTACTCGTGGCCGGGCTGACAGGACTGGCTCTCGACCAGAGGCATGAAGAGGAGTAAACGGGCAAACGGTGGACGGGGCAGGGTTTCCAATCTGAGCACAGGGTGGATGCAGGGTGCACAGGCTTTGGGGACAGTGCAGGGTGGGCAGCACAGCTCCGGGCCGTCACCTGGACAGGGGTGAGGGCAGAGTGAGCAGCCAGGGTTCTCCTGGTGGCTGCCCTCCAGACACAGGAGGATACACTCTCACTTTAAATACTGGACGCCTTGTGGGCGCACGTTCTCGGTCACAACTCCAATCTGTGCGGTACTGGGAAAGAGCAGGGAAACGTGCCTGGGGACTTGGGAAACCCCGAGGGAGTAACGTCATGGGGTGGCTATCTGATGGCGCAGCCTCTCCCAGCCATCCGGCTGGCATGGCACTGGGCACCTGCCCACAGTCAAAGTCTGTTGGCTAAACGAACAAACCCCACAAGGAAACACGGAGCCCATGCAGGAAGGCACACACATGCACGCATGGTCTCACCGCGCTGATGGCCCCTGTGGCCGTCCTGAAGCGTTTCACCTCCTGCGCAGAATCCACCGACAGCCCTCTTTTAATGGAAGATGAGACAGAATTGACTCCCTCTCCACTTGAATTTGGGTCCATATCTGAATCAGGCTGAATCAGGAAACACAACACCCTGGACATTACTGACTGACCTCTCAGGAGAAGCGCAGGGAACGGGCAGGGGCGACACGAGCGGGCTGACCCCCACCTGCTGGTCCTTGATCCTCTGCAGTTCCCACTTGATGACGACCTCGGACAGGTCCACGGCCAGCCTCCTCTGCTCTATGGTGACGCTGGGCGTGAAGCCCAGCCTCTGCATGGCGCTGACCATGTGCTGCACCAGGTGGTGCCGCACCGGGTAGTACACCTGCAGGTGGGGGGCCGGGGTCACGCCAGGATGCGGCACGGCCCCAGCACGCATGCGCGCGCGCACACACACACCCCCGTGCCAACCCCAGCACACACCACCCACCCACCCCCTCCTGCTCAATGACTCCGAACCACAACCGCAGCAGGGAAGTCACACTACCCGCCGTATGTGGAAGTGTGGTTACCCCTCCCACCTGCCCCCACTGCGTCCCAACATAATAGCGCCGTTCAGCCTTTTAGTACCAACTCTAAAAATGCCGAAACCCTGACTTCTCTTTAGGTAAGCAAGTTTAGTCATATGCATCAAACTTCAGATTTAATGTCTTAAAAGTTTAGTCATGCCAAGAGGCAAATTCCCAATTCTAAAAGAGCTGGCTGTGAAAATATTAGCTTTCAACTCAACTGTTTATGTAAGAAATATTTACATATAAATAAATCCAACAAACTGGGTGATTTGATTATAGACAAAGAGGTGCCACAGGCTCCTTCAAGCCAAGCTACTGAAGTCCAGAGTTAAGCATGTCTACCTCCCACCTTAAAGTAACAACTCCTCTGTATTCACTGCTAACTGAGCAGACAACCCTTGAACAAAAGGGGTTGGGGTGCCCACCCTCCACACAGTAGAAAACACAAAAATAATTTTGCAGTCGGCCCTCTGTATCTCTGGTTCTGCACCCACAGATTCAACCAACTAGTAGGTATTATACCGTAAAAACCTGCCTATAAGTGGACCCACACAGTTCAAACCCCTGTTGTTCAAAGGTCAACTGAATTTACAAGAAAAATGCAGCCTTGGACAGAAAGAAGCATATATTGGGGCCACGTCCTCTAAACTACAGCCATTTCCATGGTGGTAAGGCCACACACGCACAGAGTCATCAATGGGTCAGAACTACCTTCACTAAAAGAATCGTGACCACTGCTACAGAAAACAAAAGACTGGCAAAACTTCAAAGCAAACGCCTGCAAATGGCTTGGTGTTGAAGCAATCCACATCCATCCACAGGGGTGCTTACATACCTTAAAATGCTGCACTATCAAATGCAAAATGTGAACCAGCTGAGGGACCGTGTGCCCCTCCTCCACAATGATCTTCCTTGTCCAGTGGGTCAGCATCTGGTGCCCGTCCTCCATCCTGGCCGGCACCGCCGGGGTCAAGATCGCCATCGCCTGTCTGACAATGGCTCGGGCTTCCATTGCATGGGCCTTGAGAAGGCTGTGAAAAACCTAAAACATGGAAGAAATTCTTACATAAGAATGAAGGCTTTAGAAAACAAAATAAACATACTCGCTTAGAACCAAGACATGATAGTTCTTTACAATAGTTTTTAAAAAAGTCCTTTGGGTTCTCTCATTAGATGTAGTTACTTACTCTCTTAAGTTTTGATCAATGAATACGCTCTTGCTGATATTTTTTGAGCACCTACTACGTGCTTGTGCTGGACTAGGGTAGAGCATACAGAGATGATTAAGACCAGCTCCTCCAAAATAATGAGCGGGAATTAACTGAGGGACACAGACCTTTTCACACCGGCTCTGTACGGAAAACGGAGTGAAGGGGACCACCCTCAGAGGCAGTCCTGCAATAGTTCAAGTGAGAGGTGAAGGCCTGACGAAAGGGAGATCATGGGAACACAGACCAGCTGACTGGCACCGAGGTGGAGGGGATAGGAAGGGTGCTGGGAGCAGCAGGCCCTGCCCAAGCCTGCTCGCTGGGGAGAATGACAAGGCCTCACAGATGGCCCCCGGGTCCTGGCCCAGAGGAGTGGTCAGAGGAGACAATCGAGAGTGACTCAGAGGATGGGACAAGACCCACCACCTACCAGGCGCATCATGGGACACACGGCTGAGTGCTCAAGTGTACTAGTATGTTTAATTCTTACACAGAGACAAGAACTCGGCCGGGGTTGTGAATTCATGAGTGAAAGAAACAAAACTTAAAACCAGGGGCTGCCTGACATCAGAGCCTAACCCATTGAGAGATGCAGGGAAGATGTGCTTGAGATCAGCTCCGACAGGGGTTAGGAGACAACAGTTCACAAGTGCCCGCTGTCTTTAGCTAAGCAGTGAGCCGGGGCCCTGGACCAAAACATTTTCATGTAACGGGTAGAGGAGTGTCAGGTGGATGAGGGAGACACTGTACGGTTTTGAAAGCAAGGCTGCAGGGAAGCAGTGGGCTGAGCAGGAACTGGGGAGGGAGGGGTGGGAATGGATAACCACAGGAGGTTTCACAGTGACAGAAAGATGGCATTTTTAAACGTACTGGGAAAGACGATCAATAGGGAAGGAGAGGCCGGGCCTGCACGAGGGAGCAACGTGTACACGTGCAGACACATGTCCACATCGGGAGGCCAGGAGGCAGCCGGCCAGTACCTGCAGGACAATCTTCTTGTGTATGGCAAACTTGGCAATGATGTGGGCCAGGAGCAAGTGTCCGCTGTACTTGCAGGCGGGGTCCACGCAGGCCTTGGACAGCAGGCAGGGCCACGCGAAGGTCATGAGGCGGCGCAGCTTGCTGTTGCGGTTCTTGTTGTTGTCGTGGATGTGGTGCGGGGCGTGCTCCACCAGCAGCGTGGCGTACTGCAGCAGGTAGATCCGCAGCGAGTCCAGCATGTCCGTCTGCTTCTCGGGGTCCAGGACCTGCCGGGGACCAGCACAGAGGACGCGTGTCTGCCTGGCCTGTGCTACTTCCAAGGTCACATGGCACATTTAAACCTTACAAAATGCACGTCCCGGTCTCTCTCTTTATATAGAATATTCGGCTTTACAATGATGAATTGATGATGTCACATCTATTTTCCTTCATTATATACAGTTAGAAACCCACTAAATGTATTTAAATGTTGAAAAAAGGGGTAGGCTTAGAAGTCAGAATGCAGTGGGCAAAGGGGCTCAAAGTAGAAAAGGAAGACTTCTCTGTGTGTTTCCTGGCTGCAAGAAAAAAGGTACACTCTGAGGAGCGTCCACATGTCTCTCCTGGATCAGGCATTCTGACTGCACCATTCAGGTACCCTGACCACCTCCTGCCTATCAACAGACCCACGGTACTGACGTCTCCCATCACGACTGTGTTTTCATCAGGGTCCCTCCAGCCTCTAAGTCCTCTCTCCCCTGGATTTGCTGCTTCACGGCAACCCCTGCCTTCCCCAGGGGCTCCAGCCTCCTCAGCGTCATTTATCCTCACTGACACTCAAAATCCCACCTCCTCACTTGTGCAGTTGACCCAGAGGACACAGTCCAGAGAAGGCAGCACAAGGGAAGGGGCCACGTCTGGGCCACCATCTCCCCAGAGCTGCCCAGAATAAGGCAAACATCAGTATGCGGACCAAAAATAACTCCTTGCGCTCAGCTCTCATTCCCTCGGGAGGGTGGGTGTGGGGTCAAAGCTGCAAGAAGGAGTCTTGTTTTAGGGGACAAAGGCCCCATACGGATCAGCAACCTGCCCAAGTGAACAGTAGGTCAGGGCAGTGAGGAAACGGCAGTCCTTCCCGAAAGCGGTGACGCTGCAGGCGGGGCTCACGGCTCACAGCCCTGCACCACTCCTCCCCGCACAGGACAGCCGAGGCACGTGAGAAACACTTCGCTCCAGAAACCTCTCTCATGCAAACCAGAAACCCTGCTGTAAAAATGCTGGGACCCAAGCCAATTTCAGACATTGCCACCGCCACACGACGCTTCATTACCTTGGCAGCAAAGTGGCACAGAGGCAACTGGATCCAGTCTAACACTGTCACTGGGTGAAAACTCGACTGACCAGCAATAAAGGTTTTTACAAAACACCTGTGGCCTCTGAATTTTCACTGAGATATATTGTTTCTCACTGCCTCTATTACTGTGGAAAAGTACATTCCAAAGTGAGGCTGCCTTAATAAATTCACTAGTTAAGAATTAAAATGCTCTGCTGTAAATTAATACAACCAAGAAAAAAAAAGCCCTAGGGAAATAAGTCTATTTTAATGAACCCATCTCTCTCCCTCTCCCTCTCCCTCACACACACACACACACACACACACACACACACACACACACACACACCGGGATCCCAAGTCACTTTTCACACCAGTGCACGGTTAGTGACGTCACCTTGGTTATAAACACACTGGTGATACTTTCCGGGTTGTCGCCCTCTGGGTTGGGAGGTCCTAAGAGCTGCTCTCCTTCCCCCTTCTCAAAGCTGTATAAGAAAGCAGGATTCAAGATATGCTGCAGAACCTACAAAAAAATTTAAGAATGAAGGAGAAGGAAAGCCAAGCCGTGCTCTCCCCCTAACTAGGCGGCAGGACAGGCTGCCTGGCCACGCTGCCCTCGGGGTTAGGACTCAATCAAGGGTGCAGCTCCTCATCTCGACTTTTATTCCCAGGGCAACTAGAAAGGGAAGTTAAAAACTTGAGAAAAAGAGACAGTGGCCTGGTTTAATTCTCTCACCTCAAGTAAGTTGTTCTATAAACCAGCGAACTAACAAACTACTGGCCACACTGGATCTGCCTTATGTTTCTCGACAATGGCAGTTTCCTCGTGAACAGCCCAGACCACTGTTTCGGCATCAGCAGAGACACTGCCGGACACAAGCAATGCTCTTGGCTCCCTAGAAAGTGAGCTTAAACGCCGTGGCTTCTGCATAACAGTGGGACCCACCTTGGCTTTCAGTTCATCTCCAAAGTTGGGGTCACTGAAGTCCACAAAGCGAAAAAACAGGGCGCGCTTCTGAGCGATGCTGTAATTTTTGGGAATCTCCTCCTCCATGTACTCTTTTAAGAACGTCATGTTGCAGAGGAAACGACCAGTGAAGGCCCGGAGCAGCTGGAACAGCAACTCTATGTCCCCATAGTTCCTCCTGAAGGGTCAAAATACAGAGGCGAGTTAAATGACAGCCAACTTCCTAACTACGCATGACGTCTACTTGCCTTCTAAGCAGCTCAAAGTTTCAGCCCACTCCCGACCACCCATCTGACTGCATGTCCGGTGAGCCCAGCCACGTGCTGATTCAGGAAGAAGCCCCGGCTAGCTTATGGGGTGACAGGAGCAGGTCCTGGCGCAGAGCACACGGGGCACCCACTTGCAGTAATTGAGCAGACAGTAGGCCAGCAGCTTGGGCTCCTTCCAGTTTGTGGCAGCCATGTTCTCCTTCCGGTGTCTTTCCTGGAAGGTGTCACTGACCCACACGCGTCTCAGCTGGCTCACCAGAGAGTGCTGATTGGCCAGCCACGAGTCGTCGTTTTTAACTATAATACTGATGATCTGTCGAAGAAGAGACTATGAGGACACTGACAGGATTGTCGCTGTGCCTCAACTACATGTCTCAGGCATCAGGAGTCTAAAGGAGGGGACGCATTACCTTGATGGCCTGGAACTGCAGGTCCAGGCGCAGGGTGCTGGTGCTGGGCGAGCCGGGGCGCACAGCGGGCTGGGTGCCCCCGGGCAGCAGCAGCGTGATGAAGCGGTTGGGGTTGGCCGCGAGCACATCTCGCAGGGGTCTGGCATCTTTGTGTTTTAAAAAACTCTGAAAACAAAGCAAAACAGTTGTTTTAGGCTAATCAAAACCCACAAAAGGTTTAGACAATATAAACTCTAAGGTTCTTTCTAAATCTCTCAAGGCAGGCTAAAAAGAAAAAAAACAAGACAAAGAAAAGAAAAAGAAAACATCACTGCAAGCACCCTTCAAAAAACATGCTTCTTAGACAGTCATCATCCCTTATGGGTTTCACGGGCCTAGCAGCTCGCCCACTCGTTCCCACCACGGAAGTCCTACACAGAGGGACTCCTGGACTTGAGCTTCTCACATGCACAATGATTCTAATACTCAAATATGCCAGAGAAAAACAAAGCCAGGACACTGGACAGTGAAACAGAAATTTCAGGCTGGAGAGAACTTGGGCAGGGACCCGACTCCAGCCCGAGCTCTGACCATGAACATCCGGCTCCACTGGGGGTCATTGAGCGTTGCTTCCATCATGAACAGCTCCACCGTCTGCGAGGGGTGGCGAGTCAGGAACTTGATCAGAGGCTCTCTGAATGGACTGCCGGCCTGGAAAACACGTGGGGAAACCGTGTCTTCCGGGGGTGTGAGGCTCTTCTGCTCCACTGACCTCACACGGTAGGGATTGTGCACTTCTCCCCCGTGTAACTGGAGGGTGCTAACCACGAGCCAATGCTAATACCTAACCTCTTCACACTGTTAGATTACGACCAAGTGAAAACATTATAACCAAGAGATGGAGGAAGAAGAACCAGTCCTGAGCTTAACCATTACCTCGATCAGCATAGCGCGCTCTGTCTTCATCACAACCTCTAACAAAGGCTTGACCAGAGTCTGAGGGGCAGCTGGGATCAGATGAAAAAGGTTTATGATTGCCGAACAAATTTTCATTTCCTAGTGAAAAAAACCAGGAATTATAAAATAGGCCAATTAATTCTGCTAGCTAGAGATACTAACATGACTATAGACCCTACTGGGCTCTAGCTACACTGGCAAGGCTGGCCAACAGAAGCCAAGAGTTAACACGTAAAAGCCACAACTTACCGATCTCAGGTGACAGCTCTGGCCTAAGGAGACTACCTGCCTTTGGCCTTCAGCGTTTATCGCTCAACGGAGCGGGAAGGGAGCGGACTGTGTACGTCTGGGTGATTGTGCTGTGTTTTCACACACACTGACAAGTGTTGGAAGTGACCTTTTGGGGCTGCCAGGTCAGGCCCCCCGAGGTGGGAGGTGATCACACCTGGGGGCCATGAGAGTGGCAGGATTCCCTCATGCTGCCATGAAAGCATGGGGTCGGCCCGATGTCCTAAGTTCTGAGGGCACAGACTCATTCTGTCCTCAAAACGTAGCACACAGAAAGTTCTCAAAAAATATTTAAAGTATTTACCCTGGATATTAATTATCAATGTAAATAAATAACAGACTGTGGTACTAAGAATTTGTCAACCAGGCCTAAAATAAAGCTGGCAAACTGCTTTACGGAATCATATGAAAATATGTGAAATGCCAAGAATTTTGCACTTTCAATGTGCTAACAGCTCAGCGGTCAATCACTCTTGAGTGTCACCCCAACTTTCCTTTCCCAGTTTCAGTTTCCAGTTTTGTGTCTGACACTCAGGCCACAGGGAGAGAAGGCTCCCTGGGTACCACCCTGGGTGGCAGTAACAGGACAGCCATTACTCTAAGGGAACACAGTAAAACGGGGATGATGAACTCCAGTCATGTGGGACCACATCCCAGCGGCAACTGAGACGCTGCTCAAAATGCCTCTTTAAGCCAAAAGGCAAAACAGTGAGATGGCTGCAAAGTGAGAAAAACCAGCTCAGTGTTGCCCCATGCCACCTCTGGAGTTCTCATCTACAGTGTTTCCAAGTTTCCAGACACAGTAAGTTCTATCCTGAAATTAGAATAACGTTCTAATAATGGTACTTTCACGTTAAGGGTTTTCATTTTCAAAGCACTGTCATGAAACTGCTTCTGGCCTGCACGCCACCACCGAAAGGCAGGAATGACAGAGATTATCATCCCCATTTTACGGAAGAAGGAAAACTCAGAGCTGGGCTGTCCAAAGTCATGGTGTCGTGACCACATCAGTGTGGTGGGCGTGAACGACACCCCGGGGCCTGGGCGCGGGGAGGGCAGGGAGGCCTGCGCTTTGAGGGAGCTGGCCAGTTAGCAGTGTGAAAGGAAGCAGGACTCCTCCCAGTTTCTCGCAGGGACAATGTATTCCTCGTGGCGTTTCCTCTCAAGAGGCTGTTAGATGCGTGAGCTCATACAAACATAATGAGAGCAAAATCCAACTGAATCTTAAATGTTGAGAGATTGCAATTCTAGCAGGTAGAAAACCAAAGAACTTAGAATCTTGCTTAAAAACATCCTAATAGAAAACATGCGTGGCCCCCGGACAGTTCACAGCAATGGTACTGGTACGACTCTGCCACAGACAGACAGTACGGCTCACTGCACTCAAAGGCACGACACACTCCGTCCAGCACAGAACCACAAGCCACAGCAGAACCAAGTACGACAACAGCCCCTCCTGCGCCTCCGCTGAGATTCTCACCTCTACCCCTTCCACGGCAGGCTGAACCAAAACAGAAATGACAGCATGAAAAAAGGCAACGAAAGGTAAAAAGAAAAGAAAAGAAAAGAAAAAATAAACTGTTCTTCACATTGCAAGTCATAAACTGACTTTTAATAGGTTGTTCTCACCTCAAACTGACAGAATGGAGACAAGGAACATCTCCCGCACTCTGAAATGCTTTCCTGAGGATGGGGAGGAAAATCATCTTTTTTCTATTTATGTTATTTACACAGAACTTCCCACATACTCATACATAGTAAGGGTTACTGGGGTAAACAAGACAATAAAGACACAATTATCAGAAAGCACACATTAATTAACAACGCTCAGCAGCAAAAAACACACCTTCCACCCTTCAGATGTCAAAACAGCCCCTCTGATGATGTCACATGGGGTACATTCCTCCCTGAATCAAATTTATAGTAATAGGAGTTTTGGAATTCTGGTCTAGGGGGAGAAACTGTAATACCCTGACGTATGCAAATACATTTTAGAAACTTGTTTTGTTCAGAGTGAGTAATTCAGTATTTTATGTGAAGTGCTAAGACATTTTAAAAAATCTTCTTTCCCAGCTAAAGTTGGAAGAGGGCTTAATCCCCATCAGTTCATCAATTAGGCATGTTTGGGGCTCACACACCCAGAAGAACCCACAAGCCATGACACCAGCCACCAGACAGATACCTGGGTTATCCTGTGAGGGGAAGCTCTGCGTGTGTGTGTGTGCGTGTGTGGTGGCATAAAAGGTGGTCATGAGTTCTCCCCTGTAAGCTCAATGACAAACAGGTAAACCTTCCCAAAGGTGGTAACAACGTAAGCTCTGATCATCAGGGGCATCGACGTTCTAGAGAGCTTTTATTTACTTTCATTCAACTTTTAACATGTCCCCTGTTACGGTTTTTCAATTGGGCAATGTTATTTGGGGATCCAGCCAAATAAAAAGAAACTGCTTTTCAAGACCTGTTTCTAATCCTGTGGAGCATCTGTGAAAAATGATCAGCGCTTAAGAGCAGAAAGGTGGCTTGGCCCTGGGCTGAGGCCAAGAAGCCGTGGCCACACGGCCTTGGACCCCCAAACACCATGGCTCCTGAGTTCATACCTGCGGCCTCTCTCATGCAGCCAGACGTCCCCAGGCTGCTCAGGGCACACACTCACACACTGATCAACATGCTTCAGCAGGGGCCCAAGGACTCCCCAGTACCCGCGGCCCACCCCCATGTGACTGCACCCCCAGCCCAAATTAGTTGCTGTAAAACTTACGGGATCTTTTTGAACAAATGGAAGTTATTCATCTACCCTCCAGGTTTTTTAATGTTTATTCTATAACAAAGCTATCTGCTTCAGAGAATTAACAGCTAATTGTAAAAACAAATACAAAATTTACAGCAAAAATACCCAGTGGATGAGAGATAGGGAGGAAAAGCAGAGGCACCTGTACCTACTCCCAAGAGCTTAGACTGTTAAAATACACTCTGCTCTCCCCCATGAAGATTTCCTGATTTTCTCCCTAAATATATATGTAAGAGGTCATGGATTGTTTAACGTTCCTAAAAAAAGTTTAAAATCTTGGTTTAGTTTGCTTAGTTGGCTGTTTAGAAGCAGGAGGAACAAGACTTACGTAAACAAAACACCTTGACACAGAATGGTTAAAACAAAGCATAATAAAGCCAAAATAAATAAATATAATCCAAGTTGTGATGAAACAGAGCATCCAACAAGCAGGCAAAGGAGGACAGAAAGCCACGTTAGGTACGCCTCTGCAGAGCTCTAGGAATCCCCCATCGGGGTACCGCTGCACAGTTTCACTGGGCGTAACAGGAACTTATGGCAAACACAATCCCACTGAGAGGACAATCATCAACTTAAAAAATATTTTAAAAGAATATTAACATGTACAAATAAGATTAGATTCAAAACAGCAAGAACCATTCCTTTTGAAGAGACGAAGTCTTTAGTGACCAACACTGGATACTTAAGAAGATTTAACTAAAGTGGTTTTCCCTCAAAACCGTGAAAAAAAAAAAAGTGTTTTGAAGAGCTGGCTGTTTGACTTCTGGCCAGCAACTGGGGCGGGGGATCCAGATCCAGAGCACACACACGACCAATTACGTGGTGCTTCACTACACTTTCCTCCATGCTTCTTTAAGTCCCCAAACCTCTACTCGGCTTATGAGGCGATGATGACGGAAAGCAATGGAAAAGAGCAGTGAGGGCTGCATCCCTGTGCGAACAGGAGCTGCCAAGAGTCTAGAAAGCACACTTCATTCACTTTAAAGAAAAACTAATAAAATTGAAATACTAACATTTCCAGCTTCCCAGAACTCTCATCAACAAAAACGTTATATTAAAGTGAACAATAGGAAGATTTTAAAGAAACATGAAAAGGAATATGTTCAACAATTAAGAAAAATAAAAGCAAAAAGTAACGTTAACAAAATATGTGTAACAATTTATACGGACTATGTCACATACGACTAGATTTCCGACCGGTATTTAAACTAAAAGCCCCGCCCGACATGAGCGCTGGCAGCAGCAGGGCAGGCGGGCTGCCCTCCCAGAGACAAACAAGTCACTCACGTTTCCGTCGCTCCTCTGGCCCCCTTTGTGGGTGAGGACCACCACTTCCATCCACTTGCGCAGATGTTGCTGTTGAGAAAAGACATTCTTAGACATTTTTTTCTTGACGGAGCACCTCGATTCCAAAATGCTGCCCTTAGGTGAAAACTCATATGTAATCATTCATTTCCGCTCTATTTATTGTGAGGATGGTAGTGTTTCTATTAATTGAAATAGCACTGCCATCAAACTAGTGATGAGAATAATCGGTATCTGTGTATGTTTTATAAACAGAAAAGCTGAATTTTCCCCAATACAGCAGAAAAGTCCTGAAACCTGGCCACTCCAATACAGGGGCTTTTCCTAACGCTGCTTCGTCACAGCTATTCCCTGAGTGCTGTCCTGAGCTGGCACCACGCTCGGTGTCACGGCGGAGAAGTGAACAAGCCGACATCGCCCCCGTCCTCGGGGCGCTCAGGCTCCAGCGGGGAAAACAAGGGGACACAGGTGCCTCCTGTGGGGAAGGACATCTATGCTAAGGATGGGGAAGAGTAACAGGATCTGGCTTTAGAGGAGGAGTGAGGAGGTCAGGGAGGGCCCTGCTGAGGCCGATGGGCCAGAAGCACCAGGGCAGAGTGCTCCAGGCAGAGAAAAGGAGGGACACCAGAAAGGTGGCCACTGCGGCTGAGGACTGGGGCGCCCAAGGGCACCCCGGGAGTTGAGCTGCCGAGATGAGCAAGGCTCCTGCGGCGCAGACAGGTGGCAATGCCCTTCTGTGCAGAATGGGGGCAGACGTCCTGTGAGAAGAACACGGTGCAGCAGGCACACAGGAGAGACCCTGAGCCCAGAGCAGCTTGCGCCTGAGCCAGGCACGGGGCAGCCAGGCTCCCGCCCAGGGTGTCCAGCAAATCCTGGTGACAAGCACTCGGAGCCTAAGCTAAAACCACAACAGGGGCACCCAAATAACAGAACTACCTTCATCATCCTCCACTGTCTGAGCCTGCCCTTCAAAATGCTGCCCCGCGGGAAGTTAACAAGCTACTTTAAAAAGGACTCCATGGTCAAACAGGCTGAGGGACAGATGGTTTAAACACATCCAGAAACCTTTCTCTGAGCCTTCAGTGTCTACAGACCCTGTAAGACTTCAAGACAGGAACAGTTAGTTAATGAACTGTCTTTCACAGAAACCCTACATCTTGCAGAGCCAGTGTTCCAAGGAACACACTATGAGGAACTAAGACAATACACATTTCTTCAAAGAGGCTAAATACATTAAGCTAACCATGTTTTGCCAGTAAAATTCCTCAAAAGATACCACCAGAATGGATATTCACAAAACCTCTATCTTATGGGAATAGCTTTTATACCAAAGATACGAGAGTAACAAACTTAAAGGTGCAGGTAACAGCCAGCTGCTTTCAGAGTTCCCAGAAGGAGAACAGGAACGCTAACTGGTCTATAAAACTCACTTGTAGCTCAGTAAGGAGATATCCCAAACAACTAGCCCCATGTGAGAGTTCAAGATCCAATGTCAAGCAGTTGACTTGTTAAGAAAGGACAATCCTCAGGGTTGCTTTCATGCACACCCACCCTACACAGTAAGATGTCCTATCTCTTAAAATTATGCTGAAGACTTGGGCTGTTCATCCAAAAGCGTATCATATGAGGGAAAGCAAAGGCTCAGTGACTGAGCACAGTTCTGAAGAATGAGTCAGAAAGGACAAACCCGGCAGAGCCAGCGGCAGGCATGGGGAATGCCGGGAAGACCACCGCCACAGATGCAAAAGCACTACTGGACATTGATGTGTCCCAACAGGACTCAGGTGAGAAGGCTGAACACACGGCAGCTTCAGTCATTCCCTACCCAAGTCCAGCAACACCCTCTGCTTTCAGAGGAGTGAAACCACTCACAATATGGCTATAATGCCAGAGAAGGGGGAGGAAAAAAAAATACCCTGAACAAATCAGAAACACAAAACACAGGTACTTTATTTTAGGGAAAAAGACTCTTGGCCTTAGCCAGAAACTATATACTGAGGCAGTTCTGTTCACATTGTCCAAAAAAAATTTGGGTAACACTGTTGAATGAATTCCCAGCTCACAGCAGATCTAAAGGGTTAGAGAGGAGTAGAGAAACACACACAAAAAAAACCCCACAAAAAGACAGAGAAAGTTGCTTCAGGCAGGCATGCAAAGGCAGCAAGAAATGACAGCCAACAAAAGGAAAAAGACTATAGGAGTAAAAGGAGACGCACAGGTGTCATGCAGGAAAGTACTGATAAGAGATAAGATACAGCATGCGTCTGATGTGCTCCGATTAGGAAGTGATGTAACTTCATTTACTTTAACCATGCTTATGCATCTTCGTATGCATGTAAACTGTTGGCATGTATGTGTATTACACACGGAAGCTTAAAGGGAAATAGCCCTTCAATTAGGAATATTCACTTATGTATATATATTGTTTCTCATCCACACTCTACTGTTAGAGTATCACTTAAAAAGATTTAGGACCAGTCATAATACTACTGGGTTCATTTTTTGGGTGTCTGTGGTACGAAGAAACCAGCGTGTGAGGCAAAAAGCTGCATAAAAAACACATATTTGCAGAAACTGTAAGTTAGTAAATTACCAATGCTTATTTACAGAATATAAAATAAACAGCTGAAACCCTCCATCTATGTACACTTCAAGTTTAACACTGTCAAACTGATCTTTTATTATTCCCTTGGTAATTGTAAAAGAACAAAGGGCTGCTGAAGCCCTTACAACTTTTTCACTGTAGCACTGTCTATAACAGCCAAAGACTGGGAACAATCTAGGTGCTCGTCAGTGAGGAACAGCTCAGTAAATTACAGCAGGACCACACACTGAAGAATTATGTAGCCAGAAAACAGAATGAAGAAGCACTTTACAGACTGATGTGAAATGATGGGAGGGTAAGTGGAAGAAGTAAGAAGCAGGTGTCTCTGCCACTTCCCTCTGCGGGAACCGAAAGAGCAGACATACATCCCACTACTAATGTAAGATGCCCCCAGAAGGACCCCTGGGAGTCTCAACTCTGGACGTGTCCTGGGAGAGGACGGGGATGGAGGGGTTAGTAATTCTCATGACATCTCCTTTTACACCTTCTGAGTTTTAAACTGTGTAAACGTGTTACTCATTTTAAAACATAATTTAACTTTTCAGCTTCATCACAGAATACGTCACACACATCCGGCTCACCATCATCTGATCACAGAACTTGTCGTTGAAGGAGTTCGGGAAGAGCCTGGTCACCGAGGTCAGGCGGTGCACGACATTCAGCGTCAAGCTACGGTAGTCCCCCAGCATCATCAGCAGGGGCCGCATGTGCGTGTGGATCTGATCTACTTCTATGGTAGCGCCTTCTAAAAACTGTTCACAAAGGAAACAGATCACAGAAGACGCTTCATAACAGAACAGAACTCCTTTTTAACGTTAGCAGCAAGTTTTTGCCTTCCTTGGGAAAACAGAATATTAACCATATAGTACAGAAGTTTATGATGAAATGAGGAAGACTAGTCACTACTGTTTAATTTTTAGAGGGCTCCGTCAATGAAACAGGTAGAGACGCTGTTACAATCCAGGGTACACTGACCACAGGCAGACTTCCAGACAGATGGACAAGGTAAACAGGAAGAACTCAAGGCGGGACTCACACCCACCCGTCCCAGCTCACCTTTCTCATACAGGCTTCTCCGGCCTCCTGAAGCTCACTGTTGGTTGAATTAAGGGCTTTGAAGAGAGCAGCAATGATCTTCTCTCTGGACTGAGGGAGATAATTGCAGGCAGCAAGCGCATCTTTAGGGAGAGAAATCAATACATTTTTGTTATTAACCTGAAAGACACAGGAACAACTTCCCTGTCTAAAGTCTCTTACCAACCAACACACACGAGTCGCTGCACTTCTTTCCTAGGATCTGGCCTCAAGAAAGACAAAAGATACACTGTCTTCTACGTAGAGGCTCATAATTTTTACCTACGAATGAATACTATCACCCAAGGCAGCAACAGCCTGCCCGGAAGCCACGATCAACCATACTGACCAGGTGGGACGAAGAGGGGCTCGAGGGGCAGCAGGGTGGAAGGGGGTCCTCATGACCCTCCTGCCCTGGGACGTCCTCACAGGTGAGCGCAGGGCTGACCTGTGAGCAGATGTAGGCGGAGTTAACACAGAAGGCGCAGCCTCAGCCTCTGGGAAGAAGGGAACGCAGCCCGGCGTCCCTCCACTGCCTGCGTCTAATCGGGGGTCTCCTTCCAACTTGGGGGGTTAAAAGCTTTGAAAATGCAAATATTCTTAGGCAAGAGGACACACCTCAGGCCTGTATGTCAAATGTTGGTTCAGGAATAACGTTCTAGCAAGAGCACTGCCCGTGTGGGCTGACAGGAAGGCACGAGGCCCCCGAGGAGAGAAGCCCCACCGGGAGCTGCGGGACATCCCTCCCTCACCCCGGCTCGCTGCGTCTGCACACCCCAGCCCCTCCTCCAGCTTGAGGACTGTGGTCTGCCCTCAGCTCCTCCACCTCTCATCCAAGGATTCTGGCAATATTTTAAGTGTATAAAAACCAACAAGAGACAAAGTCAACCGAACAACTTGCACTGGTCTTTATTTACCAAACAAGAGGAAATGACTGCTTCTAAGTACGAGGGTGAGCACTGATCTAGTACATTCTCCTAAATAATGTACAATTCCTGTGCTGAACAATGATAACTGACATTCTTAATGAAAACTGAGAGGCAGCAGGATTCTCAAATGCTTCTAAATCATTAAAAAGTCTAAAAAGATCTAAATACTGAGTCAGATGAAAATGGAAAGATGTGAATGGTATGACAACTCTCTTAGAGCAGAATATTGGAGACATACATACTTCAGAGATATACACAGTTCTCGAAAAAGGGCTACAGGGTAAAGACGTTTACTATAGGGTAAAATCTAGTTTATTAGATAATAAAACATAATTTAAATCTCAGCAATCTATATAATTCATTGACGTCCCATTATGTAGTTTGATAAAAACAAAATTTTTTTATTTCACTTTAAAAAGACCATAAAAAGTCAAAAAAGTTATGGACAACAAAAAAAGGCCACCTTCACTTTTTTTCCGCTTAATGGAGGTACTGGGGATTGAACCCAGGACCTCGTGTATGCTAAGCACGCGCTCTACCACTGAGCTGTAACCCCCACCTGCCCCCTTCACTTCTGTACCCAGTAACTTGTCCCAAATTTATATGAACTTACTTAACGCTGCAATTCGTAAAGGTACAAGAGACGGAAGGCTTTTATAACAGGGCAGCTTTGTCAAAGCTGAATCTTCAGCCTCGCACAAATTCAAGAGCTGTGAAAGATAGAACAATTTAATTTAGCCTGCTCTTACTGTGAAGACAGAATCATCTTGCAAATAACAGAACACAGCAATCTGCCACACACATGACACAATTAACAACTGACAAACTATACTCAAAGCCTAAAGCATTTAAGTATCAAAGTGTGACTGAGTTTCCTTATTCTAAAGCAAAACTCAGTCAAGCTCATTAGTGAAATAAATTCTTTGATATTTTCTCACCCGCTCTGATACCATGTTTTTATTTTACTGTTTTTGTTTAATTTTTTTATTTTAACAGATGATCACTTTATCTAAGTGCAAATTCCACGATGGCAGATACAACTCCTCCCTGTTCAGAGCCGCTGCCCAATGCCTTGGGCCAGTGCTCAAGAAACACATGTGCTGGAATTCAAGTGTCTGAGCAGCAACACTTTGTCTTTTTAAAGCCTAGGAAGGAAGGAAAGGCTCCAGAATACCGTCACTCAGACATTCCAGTGGCTCTCCTTCCAGACACTTTACCAGGCCGATACACATTTTTTGTAATCTAGTATCTAAAATATCATATATGGTGTTCTATTACTACTTCCCCCTTCTACTGACATCCTGGAAAAACAGTATAGAATTTTACCCTTTTTTCCCTTAAAGAGTCCTACCTAGTGAAAGACTTAAAACCACAGAAAAGGACATATAGGAAAAGCGCTTCAGGCCGCCCACCCTGTCCCGCTGCCCGGAGGAAACCATGTCACTGCGTGCCCTTCAACAACACTCTCCTCGTGGAGAAACGTGTTTGTGTACACGCACACTGCAGACACGACGTCTAAGTCTAGGGAGGGGGTGAGTGTCGGGTCATTAAACGGACAGCCAGACTTCCAAACGTGGCCACACACCAGAATCACTTGGGAAGTTTTTAGGCGGCAGAAGTCTCGGGTCTAATACCAAATCTACTGACCCTAAATCTCCAGGGAGAAGACTCAAGAGTTTCTATTTCCCCAAAAGATCCTCACATGTTCTGCTGCAGCTGGTGCCCTGACAAACACTTTCAAAACCAGTTTAATTCCCCAAGATTTTACCACTCAACACAACCAGGTTCTGGTCTTAAACTCCACGCGGAGTTTTCCACACAGGTTAGACACATCTGCCTGGACGGCACCCGAGGGCAGCGCCCCCGGCCAGGCCTCATGAGCGACGGCTCTCACACAAAGGATACAACGAGGTGCGCGACGTTAAAGCCAGAACACGTCATCAGATGACCTTACGTTCAAGCAAAAACACACGACTTAAAAAAAAAATCAAGAGGTAAATTTTTCATAATAGGAAATTCAGACTTAGTGTGGATAAGGAAGAATCTGCTTCCTTATGACTTCGGCCTCAGTTTACTCTGACAAGGCCTCCGGAAGTATGTCTCATGTCTTGTAAAAATTCCAAATTGGCATGGATCACCAGACCATTATTGATTCTGAGAATTAATGCTTGTAATTTGACTGTATCCATATTTAGTTTCTACTTATCACTGTCTAGTATCGCCCCACACTGTAATGCTATTGTGACAAATACTTGTGAGGTGCCCCCTGCCACTGCCCGTCATCCTGGGTCAAGGGGCAAGTCAAGTCCACTAAACACAACGAGACCCCAGCAGGGCAGCGCAGTGACCGGGAACCTGGCTCTGAAACAACAGCTGTGGCTCCAGCCTCAGCCCTGTAGCTGCCCTGCTCTGCGACTTCAGGTGTGCAACAAGCCTAGGCCCACTTTCTGCACCTTCAGAGTAAGAACATTCAGTGCGCACACTTCGTGGGGCGCAGCCAGAGCTGCGGAAGGGCCTTCACGTGAAGCCAGCTCTCAGTGCGTGGTGTGTGTAAGTGACTGAGAGATTCAGTAATCTGCCACTTGCTCTGTGCAGTCTTACTCTGGGCGCCAGCAGATACGAGAGTGACTGAAGTAGGTGGTATGGGACGGAGGGTATAGCCCAGTGGTAGAGGGCATGTCTGGCATGTATGAGGTCCTGGGTTTAATCCCCAGCACCTCCATTAAAAAATAAAATAAATCAACCTAATAACCTCCCCTCAATTAAAAAAATTAATAAAATGAAGTAGACGGTAACAGTCTTATCTCTGGAATATAACTCTAAGGTCCTAAAGTGCAAGGTTCCCTGCGGAGGGCTAACAGAGTTCACAGGACTCAGAAAACCCCCACATTTTACTGACATCTCCAGTCACCATGCCTGCCTTCTCCCCAGTCCCAGATGTGACGTATCTGGGCCGAGGGCTGAGCCAGGCTGTGGCTGGTCACCTGGGGTCATGGCCCGGGCCTTCTCTGAATGCTGCCTGGCCAGTCTCCATGCACAAAGACAGCTTACCAGACACAAGTCACCACCATCCACACCACGCCGCACCTCCACCCCCCTACCTCTGTGTAGAACACCTTATGCTCCACCACGTTCAGGTCCATTGTGAAGAGCCGGGGCTGCAGGGTGGTACAGAACGTGTTTCCCTCCATCAGGCCAATCTGAGCATTGGCGGGCTGGTGCCGGAGCAAGTGCTTCTTAGGTGGGACCATGTCCTGGAGGACCTGGGGGAGGCAGGGAGGAAGCACCACTGACCAGCTGCCCCTTCAAAAGCAAACAGCTCTCATTACTATATTCTACACCAATTACCAACTTGAAAACCATAAGTGGGGGTCAAAGGTTATTAGAGATGACCTCTAGTTAGGGCAGGAGGACGTGTTTCACGTGCTGGCACTGGGTCATGGGTGGATACATTGGATACATTTCATTCCTACGGCTGCAGCCACCCGTCTTAAAACCAACCCCAAAGCAAGAACAAGACTAGCAGGTCATGCCCCGCAGACCCAGGACGCCAGCCTTCTACTCTCCCAACACTGACAACTACTGAGGGACGTTAACGCGAGCACACTGCCATTTGCATATCAAGGTCAAAAACACCAAGTGCAATAGCACTTTGTTTACTGGACACAAAATTATAAATTCCATGTCATCAACAACCCAAATTTAAAGGGAAAAAAAAGTCTCAAAAAGTTTTGCTCAAGTTACCCTAGTGCCAATGCTGGAAATCTCACCTCTTTGTGGGGTTCCATGATCACTGTGACGCTCTTCCCGGTGACCTGGGCCAGTACCTGCAGTGAATGCATAGCCTGTTTTCTCACGGTGGAGTTTGGAGAAGTGACTTCTCGAACCAGGTCATGGGTCACGTGGTGGAAGGACTTCTCCTGGGCCGCCACGATCTCCTCGGCTCTCTCCTCGTCCTTCAGGGGTGTCGCGCACCTCATCAGAAGCTGCTCCAGGGTGGTCTTGGCCATGGCGACCGCCCCGTTGGAAACCTGTGGGCCGGGGACTCCTTAGCACGTAAGAGGTGATGCTGCCATGGCACCCATGCCTCCTGCACAGCTGTCTGCCACAAACACTGTCACCGCGGGTCCACGCCCCTCCGCTAATTTAACAAGACTGCTTCCCATTGTCGAGGCGGTACTTCAGTAGCTGATCGCCTGCTTGTGGGTAATCTCTGCTTGTCATGCAGGAAAGAAAGCGTGGGTCCAGACCTGACCCTTGTGTCTACCACACAGATGGAAGCACTCCCTGCCATCTTCTGTCTGTCTGTGTCACGTGCTCATGAGGAGCGCAAGGCCTACAGACACTCCTGCAGCACGTGCACTACCCGACCCTCGGCCAGGCTGTGGGGTATTCCCCTTCACGGACATACGGTGTCACGTACTCTGGCCCGTGGCTGCTCTTCGTCAAGACAGACAGGTATTTAGATACCCAGAGGACGAAAGCCTGAGGACTCTGGTCTGTCCTTTTATTAAAGACACTGTAATGAAATCTAAGCTTCTAGGAGAGCGTATGTGTGGAACTGTCTCAGCTGTTCTCCAGGCAGATCCGCTTCCTGAAGCAGCAGGTCAGGTCTGCGGCCACCCGTCACCTACCTCTCCAGTCAGGTCCATCATGACAAAGAGAAGCGCTTTGAGGAACGTCTGCTGGTTCTGCAGGACCCAAGTGAGAGGCAGCCGCTCCATGAGGAACTTAATGGACACTACGCCCCCCAGCTTTGCGTACCAGGCCTGCTCGTAGCAGCAGGCGCACAGGCGCTCCACGATGTAGGAGAAGAGGGGCAGCTGGCAGGCCTGGGGAGACACGCGCCCACCGCGCGGCGTGAGTGCGGGCCACTCCCACGACGACTGCCTGCCAGCAGACACCACCAGAACAGACCCTCGGTCCCTCCTTACCCGCTCCTTTGAGCCCAGGATGATACTTGCAACGTCGAATATGACAGCCAGGGCCACCTCCCCAATCTTGCAAAGTTCTTTTTCCTCGTACGCCATACAAATGGCTATGGCGTCAATGAGAACCAGGGGGTCCATTCCTTTTGACCCGTTTTCTTCACTGTGAAACATGGCGGTGCTGGGCTGGCTGCCCACCTGGTAGCACGGGAGCAAGAAGGGACCTGCGAGGACAGGCAAGGGCATGTGAGGAGGTCGGGTTCAGCGACACGGACATTCCTGCCCCTCACACGGACAACCACCTTGTTTTGCCCTTGAGGTTAGGAATTTAGTAAAAGCCCTGGTACTTGAGACCAACTTCTGCTAAACTACAACTACCTGTAAACTAAGCAGCCTGACGTGCACAGAGGCTATTTTTCAGAATGTCTTCCGTGACACATTGTGTTATTTTAAGATTTTCTTAATCGCATTTCAGAGATGGACTAGTTTAAAATGAGAACCACAGTAGTTTAAAATGTGGTGTCCTCTAAAAAGGCGCTGACGAGGTCGGGGGGCACAACATGGGAATGACGACAGGTGATGCTCTGGACGCTCCTGACAGACAAGGGACAATAAAAAGCAACAGCCTCCGGCTACGGTGTCGCACGCACAGAGCAATCCACTGGCGGCGACGAACTCTCGCCCGGCAGGCACCCGGAATGAGGACGTCACCAAGAAGCTTACAGGTCTGCCGGGAACGCTGAGAAACAACCACGTGCTAAACTGTATGGTGCTGGCTGCTAGGGCCAGGAAGAGTTGAAAGCGGCTACTGCTCTGCAGCATTTGGAGAAAGCTGCCTGTCGATCCAGGGGAGGGGCTCTAAGGACATAAGTG